CTGATTTCTCAATCGTTTCTACCATAGAACTTCCAGTCTGTATAATATGCTTCCTTCTGTTTTCACCTCTCCAGTTGATGTATTTTCTTCGCAATTACTTAAAAAATTATATTTTCTGTATGCTGCACAAGTCAAGTCTGTTCATGGGTCTTTTTTTGGGGTGGATCTTATCGCTGATGGAGCGTTGAATACATAAACCATGCTGCTCCTTTTTATGTGCTGAGAACAACTGGCATGATGCATTTATTTCAAGATTTATTTATGTATTAATTTTTATTTTCAAAATCCAGATGTTTGTATTCTGTACTGGCATTGAACTGATCACTGAGTTCTGTGCATCAATTACTTCCTACGCAATGATGAACAGAATCTGTTTTATCCATTAAATCATTTTATTATGAAGTATTCTACAGTCTTGCTGTTCTAGTGTAGCATGTGGTTGGAGGGCATTGCTGATGGATGCTACTTCTTTTCTTTCCCTTAGTTGATTCTGTCTATCTTACATTTCCTTGGGTGGTTGGTGGGTGCTTTGCTCCTTCTTTCTTATCAAACGTCTATCGTCCTTGTCTCTCCTTCTTTTTTATGTGTTTGTTACTCCCTTGTGTCTCCTCTAATCTTTAGCACTTATATAATACGACCTTATTGTGTTGTAAGTGCCGTAAAATGCTTAACCAAACAAAGTATAGCACATGGTTGAAAGTGCTGCTGACGAATGCTACTTTTTTTTCCATTTGTTGTTTTTGTCTATCGTACATCTTACTTTTCTTTTTCACTAAAACTAAATGACTGTTAGTGTTAATGTGCTTCTCATTACTCAAACTAAAGTGTTTGAAGTATGCCATAGGTTAAGTAGTCAATAATAAAAACGAGAATTTATATAGTGCCTTATCAGTAGAAAACTCCAAGCACAGTCCAATGCAGAATGATCACATGATCACTCAACATTTGACTCATGAATTATAAGGACAAAAAATGCACACTGTGAGATCATTTAAACAACACACAAACACACAATAGGTAGCACACTTTTTGTTATTATCTCAGTACTCAGATTAAGTTACCCCCCGGGGACATTTCTCGTTCATGCACTGTAGAATTGTAAATGGGCTGATTCATCAATGTCACACTCCTAACTGTGCCTGATCTACAACAGGGAACTACTGCTTTTTCTTTCCTAATCCTTACTATTGTCATTTTTCTTCTACTTCTTTTGTATGTTTGTCACACTCTTGTGACCCACTATTTCCGGGGTGCCTTGATAGTCGAAGCAGACTTTGTGCTGTTGAAGCTAGAGAGGTGAGCAGAGTAAGTCTGGTTCCCTTTAACGACTTCTCTGTTGTCATCCACCCCTTGGCACTCATATGACCTTATGCAGTTGTGAGTGCCGTAAAACCTCTACTATAACTTTAAAAAACTCAGATTAAGTATTTCCAATTGTGGTAATGTGAAACTATAATACTACTCCTTGGCTCCTTCTAACTGCTGTCTTTCAGCCACACCCCTATTCTTATGGTAGGTAAGATCTACACCTAGCCTTCTCGGATAAGGGTGAAAAATCTCGGAGGTCCCTTAAGGATCCCTTGGTTGTCCAAAATCGATAAGAGTTGGCTTCACCCACCACCCGGGCAAAATTCAAAATTTCTTACCAACTGAAAATGGTTACAATGCCCCGCAAGCTCATATGACCTTATGCAGTCATGAGAGCCAGAAAACACTTACTAAAAAACCCAATTGTGGTAGATAGTATGAACAAAATTATGTTTTGTTCCCCTTTTTCTGAAAATCATTTTTATGTTCAAGCAGATCCAGGTTTAAAATCGGACATCAACCATAAGAGATTGATGGCTGGCATCTGAGCCAAACAAAAGCACAAACCTTGTAATATTATGTTGTTTTTTTGTTTTTGTACCCTGAAAAAATGTGTGAAAGCAACTCTATCATGATGATCACAGTCACTTGTTTCCTGTGCCTCTAAGACATAGTTGCAACCACATTTTTTAAATCAAGGGTGTTGCGTTCTAGATAGTAGATCAAGTACTTTATTGAAATGACGGGGCAAGATCTATATTTTATTTTAACCAAATTTCTTCAAGAGAAGACTTCCAAAAACTGGAATTTAAATCAAATTGTGCTTTGAGTCCACACGCTTGTGGCTGATTATTTTTACAATGCCGGCTCTCTGAGAACGTCAAAGCATTATTGGAAAGCTTGATATCATTGGTGAGGCCTATTATTATTGTTATTTATTATAATAATAATAATAATAGACAGCATTTGTAAAATGCAAATTCCAGCTCAACAGCAAGTTCTGTACACTTAACAATATAATATTTTTACCCCAGCAGACCTTATTATAGCATTCTGAAACAATCTCACCTTCCTGGGAAGCATACTACAGTGCAAGCTGCCAATTTTTGTAGGTGCTAGAACACTAACATGCGGACAAGAACTTTCGTTGTATATGGCCGGGTGGGCCTACCTATTCTCACCTGGATTAAGTGAGGTAAATTTGTGTTGAGTGCCCTTCCCAAAGACACAAGGTTGGCCTGAGGCTCGAATCCCCGAACCCACGAGGTACCTCACGATTACGAGTCCTGTAGCCCTTTAGCCTAACCAGTAGACTACCGACGCCACATTCCGTTGTCTCCTTCTCAGTCTCGGCCCATTCTTTTCATCAATGCAAGAGATATGACAGGGCAACGCTGCAGAAGGTTTGAAGATACTTTTGTGTGGTGTGTTCCTTACACTTCACTTCTTTTCTGCATTACTTTACGGATATCGATGACTTGTTTCTTGTTGTTGTTGTTATCGATCCATCAACAGCTGGGCTCTCGCCATTCTGTCCAATGCCATGTAGCCTTGTTTCTTGAAAATTGTTCAACTAACAAAAAATATTTTTGAAACCCTTCTGATTTAAATGAGATTGCAGTACACAAAAGTTCTTCCACATTAGTTTTAAACTCTCTATAGTGCATGCTGACTCCAGAGTCTTATTGAGAATCCACAGTTCAACTTCTGCGACTTTAGAAAAGGGGAAAAAAAACGTATTTACCTATAGAGCCTAGATAACTATGTGTCAATAGTCTATATGCAGTGGACTCCGGGGCTCGTCAATTTTTGGGTATGTTTTTAGCATCATCTTAAAGCTTGTTCATTTGTCTTGCTTTCGATGAAAAGGGTACTCATCTATCTATCTTGAATATATACATCGAGATGTTTGCAAAAGGAAAAGGTGGGTTTGCCAGGGTTCAGAGGTAAAATTAGCGAGAAAATGGCAGCCAAAATCTGGTAATTTGTATAGCTTGAGAGTCCTTGGAAACTGAAAATTTACAATTTTTGTGCTTTTAATCAATATTGTCCAGTAAAATCCACACAGAAATGTGTTTTCAAATGGAAATAAAAGGTGTTGAGCCAGAAACAAAAAATTCTGTAAAAATTGAAAGACTGGGGCGCGGAAAAGTGCAGTTGTCTTCAATTTCATTATTTTGACCAGCCCCTGATTTCACCATGATGCTTCACCTATTTCTTCCATATTTAATGCCTATACAATCGCTTACATGGATTTTCTGCCCTGGCCATGCAGGTGTTAGGGGAAATGAAAAAGCCAACAGATTGGCTGGTGAGGCCACCTTAGTTGACAATACGGTTCAACCAGATAGGGTCGAGATCCTGAAATATCTATCTCGCCAGCTGGTTGAGGAGGAAGACAGGGAGGCAGAGGCCAGTACTGCCGTGGAGAGGATAATGCTTTTGGGGATACAAAAAGGAAGCGGAAAATCGGGCATCCTTGCTAGAAAGAACAGAAGAACGTTCAACCAGATGTGCACTGGCACAATCAGTAGGACACTCGGCAACATTTTGGAGAGAGCAACGGAGCATCAATGGACATGTCCGGAGTGCAGGGATGTTGCTTCCTGAAACAATGAATATATATATATATATATATATATATATATATACACCGTTATATACAATATAATGAGATGTCTTTATCTGTTCCTGGTGCAACATCCTGCTGGCTCATCACCACACAGAGAACTGGACAACTAAAAGCCACACTAAGACGGTGGGCTTACCATAAGATCTAATGTTGGAACAGAGGACTGTGGGGCAGGAAACTGGGTTTAGTCCAAGTCCATTACTTGTTCTTGGGTTCTTGAAACATTCTTAAGACTCTTCACCATCAGACTATTAAGATGGGTGTCAACTAGGAGATACTGTCTTCAGAGAAAAAATTTCTAACGGCAAACTTGAAGTATTAAGTTTGATTCCTGCTACTCCGACAGGTAGGAAAGGGCCTTCTAAAAAGTTGATCTCATTTCCTGCCAAGGCAGTTTTGAGAATTAAATCTTTACAACAGATCACAAAAAATTCAGATCGTCCCACTTGCCTATATAATATATACTTTCGTTTAGTAAACCTTGGCTCAGAAGCTCTAAGTCGATAAAAGAGTAGGTCGGGCAGGCCCTTGGTACAAGCCCCAAAATTTATGGAAAGAAGCCTATGTTGGTACAACATATAAATGAAGAATATTTTCGAATCACAGTATGAGGACGCCATAGACTCTATGATAGAGACAAGGTACACAGGACCGGCAGGAAAAATGTTGATTTCAGTTAATAAAGAAGAAACATAACACAACAGTCATTTGATGCCGGGAAAAAGTAAGACCAACAGGGAAAACAACAGAAGGAAAAAAGAAGTAGGACCCACTACCCATACAATAAAAAAATGACTAGGTACACAACATCAATAGCAGCTTGATTAGAGGAACCTCCATCAGACTTCTTTCTTCACCAAAAACAAACTCAGAAAAAAGCAAAAAGGACAAAAAGTAAGACCATTAATTCAAACTTGAAGAAGCCAACAAAAGTCTACAGAGACTGAAGCCTAAACAGACTACATGTGTGAGAATCTTAATAAGAAATGGAGTACCGTACATGAAACAAATAACAAAACAAAAACTGTAATGCTGAAGAAAAAAACACTGAACAAAGAGAGAATTTATGAGATTTCTATTTATTTTAATGTGGCTAAATTTCATAATCTACACAACAAAAATGCTCATGTAAGCTATGATCATCTAACACAAAATGTAATGCATACACAATGGGTTTTGAAAGCTACACGGGTTCACACAAACCCTGAACCTTCATGACTTGATATTCAGATGAAAGATGAAGATAATGGACTAACAGACACACAGATAAAAGAATTGAAATTGAAAGGAAAAGTAACATTGTATTAAACAGTTAACTGTTCCCCTTCATCAGGAAATGTAATGCAAAGGAACTTGCAGTACTTGGGTAGTAGTATTGCTTGGGGTTTTTTTTGTGGGTAGTTATATTGACAGGTGAGTTTCCAAAGAGATACAAACGATGCAGCAAAGCAGAAAGGAAATTTGATAAAACACCATGTTGTGAAAATCAAAATCCAATAAATCTGATAGTTTCCTATTCACACTTTCTTTTAGCTCATCTGTTAATTTCAAGATACAATAAGAAATAAAGGCATCAAAGTTTTGTTCTACAAATTTCAATCAAGCTTCATGGGTGGCACCTGACAAATCAAAGGTTACTGCTTTTTCGGCAAGCACTAAACCCAATATGCCGACATATGTCCTGTGTTGTAAGAGAAAAAAAAAAGATAATTTTAGAGATAAATGCAACTTGCTCATAAGTAAATAGATGAAAGAAAACAGGATAGATATGCACTACAGGGAAAGGAAAACGAAATAAAATTTATCAGGAGAAACTTCTACATTAGGGCTTCTTTTACAAAGTGGAGAGGACAAGTGATAATAGTCAACAGTACAGAGCCAAGGATATATCACATTATCAAATCGATTCACATTCACAATTCTTCCGCGCAAATCTTGGACCATAAAAAGTTAAGATTAGTAAGACCACAGGGAGGAAACAGAAAAGATAGAAAATTTAATTTGAAACATCCGTTTTCCTGTTCATTCCTATAACTAGACCGGGTTAGAATGTTACGACTCTACCACATCCTGGTTTTTACTGTTCTAGTGAACAGAAAAAAAAAAAGAAACAATGAACCAAAAAAATCTTGACGTGATATTCTAGCCAAAGGTGCACATTTCTAACTAACTTGTACTGGGTCAGAACAGTCAGTGGAGGATTAATAAGTCACTAAATCATTGTAAATTTAGAGAGAACAGAGAAAAACGATGACCCAAACACATGTATCGGCATACAACCTGAACATCAAAATCACCACTCGCTCAACGATAGTACGATCAAGATATATATATACATGTAGTGAATGGACCATGTTCCTTACACAGCAACAACTGATCTACTGAGCTGAGCTACACAAACTTGTGTTTGGAGAAACCACAGAGTTAAACTAAACACATTCAATGTTGAACATTGATGAGTTACACATCAAGCTGCAGTCTCCAAAACATCCAGACCTCTTTGCATAAAGAAATCTCTTTTTTATCTTACCAGTCATAAGATACAATTCACATATATTCAGCCGACACTGGAATGCAATAGGTTCATTCAAGCAAAGTGAACAAGAAAAGATACGACAACACTTTGCTTATAATAAAACAAGATAGACTACTCAATAATTTTCAGGTTCACACAAAGAGGGCATACAGTCCAGCAGTAATTTTCCTCTTGTATGTTTTTGTGATGTATAAAATTGAACTAGTAAAGAAGGTTGGTGCCAAGAGGAATGATAACAGTCCTGCATGAATTTTGAATAAATGTAATTCAAGTTTTCATTACACACTAAGCCCTGTTTTTAGAATATTGAGTCTCCTTCATATAAGCTCTTACATGTATCCAGAGAAGTTAAAAAGCAAGACTTCCATATTTTTCCTCCTGAAAAGGATATGATATAATTTGCCTATACGCCATGCTATCACAAATGAGTTTTATTGAGACATGGCAGTAATTCAAAAAATTTCTTGGCAAGCAGAAGTGGTCCTGGTGAAGAGGTCTCAACAGAAGATAATATAACAATTAAGTTTCAAGGAAACTAACATGGAATAGTATGCTTGTTGAAGAAGAAAGGCCTGGGGACCCATGTCATAGTACCATGTTAAAAAATGATGTTCACAGAATGCAAGAGCAAAAATAAAACAAATCATCTTGCAACCTCTGACACTCCTCACAATAATTACAGGCATCCCACCTACATTCTACATTCAGACACAAAACAGTGACAAGCAGCTTGTACTCATACCATGATATAGGATGACAGTCCATGTTCATATTGCACTATACACATGAATACAGGTCTCATTCTAATGATGATAACATCAGCAGCTCTTTCAAGACTTTGGTCTGGCTCGTTTCTCGGATCTCTCCTGCCAGGAACATCTCGTCCACCACACTGTACACCTATGGAGGGGAAACAAAATACAAGTAAAAGTGAAACTGTACTCTGGATTGACAGTGTAAACCACGAAAAGGCCAAATTTTCACTTTGAAAAGATCAAATAAATAGAGAGAGCGTAGATTTGTGAATTAATTCAGAAACAAAGAAGGAGGCTGAAAGTGAAACCCCTGCCCCCTTTTTCACACACATATGCATGCACAGGAACACAACTACACACATACACACACCCAAACACACACGCATAGATACAAAACACAGGTACATATACACAAACATTATGCCGGTGTCCACACATACAACTTGATCTGTCTGAGCAGGTGACTCTTCAGTCAGAATTACACAAACACTACCTTATCTCATACTTGCAGCTTGCAGCATTAAGTGAAAGAAAAGAGTAGAAATGTAAGTTGGCACTCTATTTCTATACTTCTGTGGACAACGCTCAGTTCTTTCTTTCAAGCACTGCAAACCTTTCTTTTTGATAGAGTTTACTCTTGTAGCATTAGGTCAATTTTTGAACAATGACAATAACCAATATTCCAGTACATCCCACAATTTCAATAACCGGTCAATAAAATAGTTAAATTTTAGTTTTAGTCACTTTCACAGCACTTGCAACACACTTGGGTCATGTGCTGAAGGAAAGTTACAAGAGAATAACATGCAAAGAAAAGAAAGAGGAGAGATAAGGATGATGTTTGACAGAAAAGAAGGAGCAAGAACAAATCCCACCAGAGCACCCACCTGATGAAATCTTACTGTCCTTATTACTAAATAACATACACAGCACATGAACTAATTCAGTAATAGAAGCAACATTTTCCATGTGTTCAGTAACTCATCAATCATAATTTTCAATAACGGGATCCATTTTACAAATATAGGATTGCCTTACATCAAAACTAGCAGAGACATAAAATACGGAAAAGACAGAACCAGACAACCTCTCGGGGTACTTTGGAATGAGAAGTGAGGACCTTGCCACCTCCCTTATGAGCCCACTGCAATTAGTCAACTCACCTTGTAAAAATTAAACACGAGGTCCAGCTCACAGACATTGTGGAAAAACTCATTCAGCACTTCAACAAAGTTGTGTATAGCCTCCAGGTACACCAGGTTGTTGTCATTCACATCCACACAGATGCAAAAGTACAGGCCAGCATAACGACGATACACAATCTTGAAATTTCGAAACTGCCAGGAGAAAAATAATGTTTGAAAACGTTAATAAAGTTGTAAGTCTTTCAGATCAGGTTTTCAATATTCAGGTTATATAAGTACAGTGGAATCCTGTTATAATGAGAGGGAGGGGACCGGAGCAAAATGTCCGTTATAGCAGGATTCTCGCTATAAGGGATCCAGTAATATATTCAAGGGAAACTGTAAAGTAGGCCTAATCTATGAGTTTGGTGTTCTGTTTATTTCCTTTTGCTATCTCCCCTGATGATGATTTGTTTTCAACATGATCTCTATGTCTTACTTGATCAAAAATCAAATCAGGTTTCTTTATCTAGCGCTAGATCTAGATCTAGCGATGTTGACTGACGGCTCGGCGTTGGCGATCAAAAGGAAAGGTCTCTGGGCTAATTCACCTGCTGCGTTTTCCCCCCACCCCACTACACCCTGTGGTGCATTTTGTCTGCTTGCGCACGACACACATTCGTCCAATCCATCACTGCACTGTGACCTCTCCATCCCCGCATCGGAGAAGCGAGAGGCATGGTAGGCCTTGATAATCTAAACTAGATCTAGGCTTACGCTGGCCTATCACGCGATGCGTTCTGCTTGTCTGCGCATGCCACACCCTCCCTACTCAGTCGATTCGGCCTTCATTGTTGACACACTTGGGCTCTCCCATTCTTTGCTTCGTTAGATCACCAACTTGTTTCTCAACGGGCGAGGTTCTACATTATGTATAATAGGCCTATGCACTGCGCACAGCAGCAGCTATATTCCGCTATAACCGACTCGCGCGTTTGTCTGATTGCGCTATAGCAGTATTTCATTTACAAAGGTAAAGAAGAGAAAAAAACGGGGTTTTAGAAGTGTCTTCATCACAGACTTCTCATTTTTTCTGGACTCGTTATAAGTGGACTCCACTGTAGTTGGTCCAAAATGGCTGGGCAGGTGTGCAGTCAATAATTTTGTGTTAATCTAGGTGTTTTTCTCATACAAGCATTATTCTGCATAAATTGTTATCATGCTTAATACATCAAAATAAAGATCCATCTTTTGCAACCTGACACTTTCAGGTATATGAAGGGTTAACCATAAAAAGACTGTGAAAGCAATCATATCTTTAAAAAATGCAACAAGAGAGAGAAAGAAAGAAATGCTCTCACAGAAAAAGAAAACTGCACCGCCTGCACCTAATTTGTCCGAAAAGTTTTTATTTTATAAATATTTTCAAACGGCAATGTCTGAGGAAGACGTAATTTTTTTGGCACCCAATTTTAAATAAAATTATCTATCGCAATTGGAGGGGGGGGGGGGGGGGTGACTGGCTTTGTCTGTTACAGCTAAAAAAGTATAGCACATAACTTCACCAAGTTTTATATGAAACGAAACAAGTTAGTCAACTGTTGGCTCGCTGCTTCTCGTAGAACGTAACAAACAAACACCAGAGATATCGATTGATAAAGCACATCCCGTAAATACACGGGATTAGGGTACCTGGCCAGCGGGGCGTCCCGTAAATACACAGGAATAGGCTCAAGTGAGTTAATGTATTTCAATTGTAAATCTGTGTGTACCATTCATTTTAAAAAAGTAGGTTCGTGCTGCTAGGTGGCATATTTGGGGAGTGAAAAATAACACGAGAAATGCCATAACTTCTATATATAATCATCACAAAAACCTATAATTTATTTGGTGTCAATGTAAAGAGGAAAGGAACTGCATTTGAAAGTGTAATGGAAGCTAGCATCTGCTCAAGTTAAAATTTCAGTTTGGACTTCATAATATACAAGTCTTTTTTCAAAAAATCAAAATGAGCATCTATCATCCATACCTACCGACACAGTCAGTAAGAGTCACCAAAATGAGTAGTGTAGCTCGACCTTTGGTCCTAGCTAAAAGTCCAACAGGATAGACCTTTTATAACACAGATCAACAATCCCTGGCTCAAGGGCTAAATTCTGCATAAGAAAGAACTTTGACTGTTCCCATGGAGATAAAAAATTTCATGAAGAAGTACATTCAACCACAATTTGTCCAAATAGTAGTACAGTGTAATTCATACATTTGAATTTCAAGTCTTTTTATAACACTTAACAGCTACCCCCCTCCCCTCAACCAGTAATGCAAGGTTACTGTTTTGCCTGTGGGGACAAAAAATATTGCATATTCCTGAGTCATAACCAATGGAAAAGAAGGAAGAGCTATCTTTAGAAGCATTTAAGATATACAACTTTTAACCCTTTCGTTGCCTTAAATGTATATGGTACTTCACAAAAATGCCCAATTTTTGGCTTTTTGCCATACCATGGACAGAAGTTTGCAAAATTTGCCCTTCCTGGTTGCCCTCAGAACATTACATGTACATCCCACTATTCATCTCACTCTAGTTTCTCTGTATAGAGATTTAGCCAGAAGCACAGCGTGGATTCATATTAGGGAATAAAAAATGTGCTTATCAGTACATGTACCAATCTGCAAATAATACTCTCTGGTTACGATTACAAGCGAGCCATAAACACAGGTCTAGTCTTGAGATGAGGGCAGGCTTCCACAAAATGTAAACACCAAAATGACTTTAACCATATCCGTATGCCCTGGGGTCATTTTGTACCCCCGGGATTTTTTCTTCACATTTTAGAATACTTCGAGTGTAAAGATCTCTCAGAAACTTTCAGTATTTCTCAAAAAATCATTTTGACAGACTTCTATGCAAAGCATACAGACCGGATTAATGAGTAAATTTCCTCTTTGAAAGTGGTGGCACAGGGTTCCCCACGACGTCTGGATATGATAGTAAAGCCCGACGTACGGATAGGGTTAAAAGACTGCGAATTTCACTTTTTGACTTAAAGTTTGCAAGTTGTTCAAAATTTAGGGGAAGATTCGGAACATGGGGGTAAGGAACGTGGAAGGCGACACTATTGGAGACTGGGTCCCAATAAAAAATGTCACATTATTATATACAATTGGACCAGAACCAGATGGTATGTCCACCAACACTGAGACTGATGTGAATGCTGTCCTGGCTACTAAGCTTTGCTTAAAATCAAGGCTGGTAGAAGGAACCCACAACCCATTCTAGCAACGAAGGGGTTAATACACAGTCAAAAGGATTGATGACCAGCATATTACTGACCATTTTGATAAACAAAAAACAAAGACATCATCCACTTGGGATATGCAGGATCCGGGCTTTCAAAATGAAGAGGGTAGAATCAACGTGGTTATCATTACCTTTAAGTCTATTACTTGGACTTCGTGGGGAAGACCATGGGATATATAAGAGTAATAAAGAATTTGTCCAGTTCCACGACTACATATGACAGATACAGTAAAAACATTAATAAAGACACACATACAAAGCGCTTTGAGGATAAAATTTAGAAAACACCAATCTGTTAATAAGTTTGGCGGGTTATTTGACAAATAAGGAAGGACGTGAATTCTGAAAAGAAAAGGGCCTCTCGTGGCCTAGAGGTTAAGGTGTTCGCCTCTCATTCAAAGGTCCGGGGTACGAATCTGGGTAGCGACAGAAAACTTTTCTTTGTTGTCTGCTTTCATCTCCACTTTCTGCCCCCACCCCGTCACCTCCTTTGACCCCTCCTCTGGGCTCCTGACTCTTTCTGCAGCCTTTCTACTGCTACTCCTTGGCTCCTTCTTGCGGCTGTCTTTCAGCTACACCCCTGATCTTCTGGTAGGAAATATCTACACCTAGCCTTCTCGGACAAGGACGAAAAATCTCGGAGGTCCCGTGAGCAAGTGGCACACGTTAAAGATCCCTTGGTGGTCTGAAATCGATAAAAGTAGGCTTTTGCTGCCACTCGGGCAAAATTCAAAATTTCCTACCCACTGAAAATGTTTAATGTGCCTCACGCATACGCAGTTGCGAGCGCTGAAAAACACTTACCAAAAAAAAAAGAGAAGAAAAAAGCAAACAACATTGATAGTATTACCTCTACAAAGTTAGTGTGTTTTGTGTCTCTGACTGTCACCACAGCATGGACCTCTTCAATCAGTTTCTGCTTCTCATCATCATCAAAGTGCATGTACCACTTAGCGAGACGAGTTTTACCAGCTCGATTTTGAATCAGGATGAAGCGAATCTGAAGAGGAAAAAATAGAAAGTCCCAGGATGGAATTAACATTTCAACATTTACAAGAACACACCAAATATATAAGGGTGTTTTTATGATGGGTCCTATCGTCATTAGAGTCAATGTACCAGGTAGAAGGCTGAGTCTTGCAAGATAGATTATAATAGTGAATTGGAAATATAGAAATGCATCATCAAGATTAAGTATAAAGGTCCAGAAATAAGTAATTTTATAATAAAAAAAACTCAAATCAAAGTTCATTGACAGGGGAACGACATTAGTGAAAGAAATAAATAGATTGGGGCAACTGTTCACGCAGAGCAATTACGCAATAAAGGGGGATAACAGAGATGCCAACCACAGAAAACCGAAATGAGTATTGGGAAATATGAAAATGTGTATTTTCAGGGGAAAATGTGTATTCCCCACGAGCGACCAACTAGTAATAGTAAAAATTACTAGCTCACCAGCTCGAAAAAGGGAGCACACACGCGTACAAAATACATGTATATGCAGTCAACAACATGTTAGTGTTCAATGTTGTACAGGGGTCTTGTTTGACTTTAAAAGTATTTCAATCTATTATATATTTTCCTCTCATTATTATATAAAAAATAAATCCTGCTTTGAGAGTTCGGAAGGGCCTAGAACAAGAATTTCGACTATCAAGAACCAGTCTGGGTGTCATGATTCATATTATGAACTGACAGACTCAAATTATTGCTCAAACTCAGAGAAGAGCAATAACTTGAAAGGCTCAAGTGGACCCGTGCACTGTGAGAGTTGTAACAACTGTGAGAGGGCAAGATGCAGTGACACTGAAAATCTGCCAGTCTTGAACAGAAAGCTACAACATACACCGTAGGTATAATTTACTATCACCCATCCAAGTAGGTATAATTACTTTCACCCATCCAATGAAACGCGAACACTTTATTTCAATAACACAGACTTGCAAAGTATGAGGGGTCCCGATTCCGCACACGGCCTGCACCAATGCGCTTCCAAGTTTTTGTCCTCTGGTGTTGCCTTAACACCCCCCCCCCCCCCCGATAGTACCCTCCAAAAAAATCAGTAATCTCCTTCCCTATTCCGTAGTCATATACTTCGCAATTCCGTTACTTCCATCAAAGACGGTCTTTACTCACACGATGCCGCATTTATTTATGATGCGAATGCGCGCAGGTTCAGTGACCGGTCACGATGGCGAGCCAGACAATCTAAAAATCAGACGACGCTTGCTGGTTTGTTTTTTTTCCCCACAAGCGACAGCCAAAGCGACGAGTCCAAGTGTTTATTACATTTTATTTGCACGGCGACATTGCGTTCATAACCTGCATGCCACAAATGTTGCGTTATCAGACAACTGCTGGCAAACTTCTTGGTGGTAGCGAAAGCGAAAGTAGATCTTGATTTTCCCGACCGAGCCTCGTTGTTACATACGCTTCTGCCTGCCGTCATAGCTGCTTATACGCGTGAAAGTGAAACGTACTCCCCGAACGGGGAAAAGCTGAACGAATATAATATCACGATCGCGACCGGCAAAATTGAACTTACTGACCTTATCGGACTTGGTTTTCAAATATTCCAGTTCTGCGATACTTATTTTTTTAAAGATGGGACTTGAAATAATTATGTTTACTCGCCCAAGCTGAATTTAGTAATTTTCGCATTCCAGGATGCGTATTTTTTCATGAAAAGTTGTATTCGCGTACTTTCTGCAAAAAATCGTACTAAAATACGTAAAATCGTACTGGTTGGCATCTCTGGGATAATAACTAAAAATAATTAAATTGGCTAGTCTGAAAAGTTTTATCCAGCTTCCTTTCACCATTACCCATAAAATAGAGACTGATCCTGAACAGAAACGTATGTAAATCACCTTTGTAGCAATACCACACACAAAGGTATTCCACCACATATCTTGTACAATAATTTGGAGTAATTGAAATACACGAAATGCTAGCCAGCTACAACCCAGTCTCCACTGACAGTAGACCTAGACCTGCAATCAGTTCCTAATTCTATCTTTGTAATAAATCTAGTACTAGTACTAGTAAATGTACCAGCTTTGTAGACATTGCTAGTACTAGGTCTAGGCTTTGGGGGCAGGTTATAACTAATGGATGATTCACCTACTACCCCTGATAGAGTACGACGCCCACCCAAAGTCTGGTCAGTTTCATCCCCGTCGTCAGTATCGTCACTGCTATTCTAACCAGTCGGAAATTACTCTATTTAAGTCTAAGCCAGTGTGGCTGAAAATGTAATCATAATGTCAAATCTTCAATCAGTCATGTCGACCGGCAAAAAGCTTTACGGGGCTTTCGTTCTGCGTGAACAGTTGCCCTAAGCCATTGCTGCCATTGTAAACAAATGGGTTTGCATTATTTCGATCAACACTTCAGACTAAAAAACACGCAAAATTCTCTTTAAAAAGCTGAGTAATGATGAAACTAGCAGTGAAGCTTCCGGTCTTGACACAAATACATCCGCAAGTCGCAAAATATTGCCGAAAATAGCAGAAAGAACCGTTTGATAAAATCATATATGTGAGGCGAGCTGACAAAATGAGTTACTTACTTCTCGCAATCCACACAGGGAGATATTGGCCAAAATTCGACACTAGGGTGAAATTTGTAGATTTTCTATTGATGCCGTATTCTTAAAGTGCAAAATGCCTTTCATTATTTCATACTTATAATATAAATTGTAAAAACTTCACCTATAAGGGTGATGTATATATACATCTATTTCCATAAGGCTTGAATGCGAGAAGTAACTCATTTTGTCAGCACGCTTATATATATATGAGAAACGACGACAGAGTCGTTCCTCCGAGGAAGAATGTGGGTCAAGTTTAACGATAACTATGGAGTGTGAGTTTTGCCTCCACCGACGATTACTTTTGATTCTAAATCTAAACGATTACTTTGTGACGCGCGTGCCGATGAAGATATCAAACCTCATTGTATAACATCAAATTCTGATCAAATCCCGGACCCCCCCCCCCCATGTCTTTGTTAGGTCAGGGGGGCAAGCCCCCTGAAACCCCCCTTGAAATACAAGAGAAATTTTACGCTCATTTTATAGGCTACTGAAAAATTACAGCGCATCTCTCACTCTCGCTGGGATAAAACATTTATACAGAATATTTAAGTCAGAGGGCCTATCGATATCCAGTACTTTGTATGGATGATGCCAAGACCATAAGATACTCAGACTTTCGCCCCACATAAAAAACTTATAACATGATTTTAAAATAGAAGATGACGACAATGCAAGACAAAGACACAGGACTAAAAGATAAGACAAGGCTATGACTAGAGATTACTCTTTGGGATAAACACAAGGTAAACTGAGAAGTAAGAGAAGGAAGGCTGGAATTTAAAATGATTTGGCTGGGGCTGGAACTGGGAATCAGATTTTTCTCTTCAATAGACTCAGTAGATTAGATCTAAGACGTAAGAATAAAAAAACAAAAGCCACCTCTATTCTCACGCAGGCGGGCCTTTTTTGGCTATTCTCACCCAGTGTGCCTTCATCCTGATAGGCCAACCAGTAACGTTCACTGTGAACAAACGTTCCAGCGCTCTTGTGTTGAAAGCGTGCAAATTTGTCTGAGGGCAGTGAAAGAGAAAGAAAGAGAGGGGGGGAGAGAGAGAGAGAGAGAGAGAGAGAGAGAGAGAGAGAGAGAGAGAGAGAGAGAGAGAGAGAGAGAGAGAGACAGAGAGAGAGAGGGGGAGGGGGGTGGAGTAGCCTAGCGCGAGAAGTTTCAGGCAAAACAAAATGGCGACCCACGTAGCATCTTTGTAGACGACCAAATTAATTTACTTTGGTGTTTTTAATATTATTTTTTATCTTTGTCTGTCAATTTGATCGTCCACACCGATAGACAGTATTTGAGTATTCAGAAAGAGAGTGCGAGGGAGAGAGAGAGAAGGAGTAGCCAAGAGCTTGCAAGAACTTGCGGGCAAACAAAATGGAGACCCGTGTAGTTCGGCTCGATTCGAAAAGTGAAAAAGCCATCTAGAATAGCATGATCTTTGTTGACAACCAAATTAGCTGTAAGCTTTTTGTGCTATAACGGACATCATTTTTTCTTTGTTTTTGTGTCGATTATCTAGATCTAGACAAAAACACCGCAAAAACAAAAGAAAAAATGATGTCCGTTATTGCACAAAAAGTTTACAGCTAATCTAAATCTAGATCTAGAGTATCTGATCATCCACACCAATAGACAGTATTCCAAAATTAGGAAAAACAGGTCTTGTTTTCACACCAGGGGAGAATAACCAACGCTGGCAAGTCCCACCCGGGGTGAGAGGTCGATTACCTGGCGCCCGGGGTGAGGATAGCCACTTCCAAAAACAAACTCTACAGGAACACCGATGCCGGCCGAGGTGGAAACCAACGACCAAAGGCAAAGGAAGATTGAAGTTGCAAAGATACATTTTACAACAGAAAAGTGAAAACTACAATTCAATATAAGTATATATATATAGATTCTAGATCTAGATCTAGATCTATGTGCAAGCAAAAGTTCAAATTACCATGATGTAGATCTAAATCAAGTTTTTGTCTGTAACGTTCTCGCTTCAGAGAAATACCCCTCCCACTAATGTTGGAGCTCCACTTCCGCATGAGGATGAGCTTATTAGTGGACTGGAAGTAAAACAATTAGATTTTCAATGACAAAAATTGAAAAACTTATATTCAGACAAAATACAGTATAAAATATTTACATTAATCTATAAAACTTTATAAAAAGTAGAATCTATTCAAATCTTATCTCAAAAATAATTTTAGATGTCAGCTTATAATTCCATTCCGTATTTGACTGATGCAATTTTTCTATCCAAGGGAGAGAAGTCTCAGAGAAGTCTTGTCCCAGTGCAAATTGTAAACACGCATGATTGCTGAAGACGGACGACACACGAACACGAGCACAGAGTCAGAGAAGCAAGAAAACACCTCATCATGCCACATATTTCACCTTCTGCCACTGCCAGTCCTCTTGAAGAAGTCAGAAGGAAAGTGAAGCTAACAGAACACACAGTGGAAAATGTATGTAGAATCTAGATCTAGATATAGATCTAGATCTAGTCGCCAATCTAGAGTAGATCTAGATCTAGACTCTAGTTTTTCCTTACGAAGTGTATACAAAGCGGTAAGTGGGAACAAAGTCACGAAGTATACACACCCGGTAGGGGAAATACTTTTTGATTTCCACGCCCAGACCTGGTAGAGAGAGAGATTGTGCGTGTGTGTGTGTGTGTGTGTGAGAGAGAGAGAGGAGGGGGTAGAGAACAGGGGAATTGCTAGATCTAGAATCTAGATCTAGATCTAGATCTAGATCTAGTAAAATATGAGGCAACGAGAGAAAGGAGTGTATACAGACCCGGTAACCGGGAACAAAGTCATTTTAAAGACCCGGTAGGGGAACTCTTGTATGATTTCGGAAAGTTTTAGTGCCCTCTTGGCTCAGGGTAGACCCACAGAATTCTACACACTTAAACTTAAGTTTAGAATTCTGTGGATAGACATAGGTTCTTTTCTAGTAGATCTATGGTCTAGATTTAGACAGACAGACATAAATCGTTGATCTAGTTTCGAGGCTAGCCTAGATCTAGATTCTAGATCTAGATCTAAATATCAAGATTGCGGATGTCTTATCGATGAACGATCGTTTTTCTTCCGTTTTGGAGTTGGAGGAATAACACTTTGAAGAAAAAAATGTCGTAATTTCTATCGAGCAGTCTCTCTCTCTCTCTCTCTCTCTCTCTTCTCTCTTTCTCTCTCTCTCTCTCTCTCTCTCTCCTGCCTCGGTGTATCGCTCGCCTTCTCTTTTTCTTTGTTTGTCTCTGTCTTTCTTTCTCCCCCACCTCTACTTTCCCACTCTGTCTTTCTCTCTTCCCCTCCTGCCAACTGGGGCATGTCATGTTGCTAGCTCTCTCTCTCTCTCTCTCTCTCTCTCTCTCTCTCTCTCTCTCTCTCTCTCTCTCTCTCTCTCTCTCTCTCTCTCTCTCTCTCTCTCTTCCTCTCTCTCTCTCACACACAGTACACACCCAAACCCACACTACCGGGTCTGGGCGCTGAAACTTTCCGAAATCACAAAAGAGTTCCCTACCGGGTCTGTATAATTCGTGACTTTGTTCCAGGTTACCGGGTCTGTATACACTCCGACGAGAGAAAGATAGAGGGGGAAAGTAGGTGGGGGAGAAAGAAAGACAGACAAACAAAGAGAAAGAGAAGGCGAGCGATACACAGAGAGAGAGAGAGGGTGGGCAGGCAGAAAAAGAGGGGAGAGAGAGACAGAGGAAAAGAGAGGGTGACTGCTCGATTGAAATTATGACATTGTTCTTTTTCTCAAAATGTCTTAGATCTAGATCTAGAATTCCTCCGACTCCAAAACAGAGGGAAAACGATCGTTCATCGAAAAGACATCCGCAATCTTCATTTAGATCTAGATCTAGGCCTCGAAACAGATCTCTGCTTTATGTCTGTCTGTCTGTCTGTCTACTAACTGTCTAGATCTAGACCTAGGCCATAGATCTAGAAGACCCCAAGTCTACTCTGAGCCAAGAGGGCGCTGAAACTTTCCGAAATGACAAAAGATTTCCCCTACCGGGTTTGTATACTTCATGACTTTGTTCCCGGTTACCGGGTCTGTATACTCTCCCTTTTCCTTAACTCTTGTCCTGCGTCTGTGCTGAGATAAAATGCGAATCTTATTAGCAACCGATTACGTCGGACGTTCCGGGCAGGCCGCCGGGATCTCATTGTGTACTGTTGGTGTACAGCACTCGCGCCGGGAAATATGTGTGTTTTCGCCATGAATACCATGGGAGTGTGTTAATCGACGATGAAAATAACACTCTATCTTCCATGACTTTCACTTTCTATTATAAAGTGTTACGAACACAACCCCCTCTCATAAGCTGATATAAGACATTACGAGTAGTTACGCCCTTTTGAATCACCTTTCTAGACGCTCTTGTTGTTATGAATTACCTGGGGTTCAAAAAGTAAAAGGGATAATATAGATCTAGGTCAATTTCCGAATGTTTTGCTCTCAAATTGTTCTTTGTGCCGCCTACACAATGGTATTCAAAATTATCAAATCAGCTTATTTTTATCAGGTAGATCTAGATTCTAGATCTAGTATCATTTCATACAAAATCAAGCTCATTTGAAAGAATTTGTATGGAAAAATTGAAGTCTTGTTTCCTGACTATCCTTTCGAGCTCCTCATGTCTTGTGGGTCAATTTCTTTTCTATATTTTCATTGGACGAACATCTAGAGCTACCAACTTGGCGTGTTTTGAATGAGACGTATGCCTCAGTTGCGAACCAACGCAGGCGGTTCAAGAAGAAGGCCACAAATGCACACAAACTCAAGCAGACTGATGCACACACACGTGAATGCGGATCCGAATCGGGACCCGAATTCAAGGGGAGATGGTGCTCGGCGCGCGTGCGCTGAGCCAGGGGCCAGACTGATGCGGGACCAGAATGCTGGCGAGGTGCCGAAATAGGCTTATTGGGCGACATGTCAACATGAACTTGTGACAGAAGCGGCGCTTGTTCTCCGAGTGGTGGAGACCTGTGTGTTTGTTTTAACATGGCACTCAGTCTTACTCATCTGATACATTTTGTTTTATTGTCACCCTTGTGCAAAAGCAGCAACAAAAAAAAAAGAGCAAACAAAATACAAACCAACAACAACAAAAACAACAACAATGCAGCTGCTTTCGGTTGGGACATCAGATGAGAATGGTTTGTTTTCTTTATCTTGATCAGTCCTGCCCTTTTTTGTTAGTAGAGGTTTTACGGCGCGCGTAACTGCATAAGGTCATATGAGCGCCAAGTCCTGCCTTATACGGCCACTTTTCTCCTTGACAATGGGTGGCCGTCTTACACAGGTCGACTGTAGTAGTTCTGAACCTGACACTGATTACTTAACTTCTGAGTGTTTTCCATATTCAGTCTGTTTTCTCTTCATCAGTATTACAATTTTAAATATTAAATCCTCTCTAACAAACAAATTCAATTTGTCTCTGCTATTGTATGGAAAATTGATGTGAACATCTTTCCTGCAAAAGAAGGAGAGGACAGGGTAGAAAATTATCCCTGCCCGCCACGTAAATTCTCTTTCATTTTTGGTGTTATAGTCGAACAGTTTTGGAATATTGAATTGAAATTGTCTTACATTTTATTCCTTTTCAATAGGTAAACAGCACAGACTTCCCAGGAACATATGAAGAGTATGATGATGCCTGGAGCCAGGAAAAGTTTGAAGAGGTATTTCACATGGTATTCTAGCAATACCACACACCTCGCACTGGCAGTGCGAAAGCTTGGTGGACTCGCCAGAGTCAGGGGTAACCCCAGGAACCTGCTGATGTACAGCACTGTTTTTTGTGTCAGCCCCACGTTATTGCACATCAACATATGCAGAAGAAATTGGGGCATTCACTGATGAAAAACATGTGCTATTATTGTTCATGGACAATTGAGTTTTTTTTAAGAAAGAGGGTTGGTCAGTAATGAGTTTGAAGCCTGCCAAATGGCACCGTGATTTTTAGACTTGCCTCATTCGGAGGGGACACAAAACATCTAACTAGTACCCTGATGCCCCCAAATTTGGCAGCCAAAGAAAAAAAAGATTGATCATCTTTTCGCAGCCTTCCGTTTACAAATCAAACGAAAAACAAAAATGATACAAGGTGATTACTTTGTGGGTTTAATTTTGAAAAGTGTGTATTTGATCACAGTGCTAAATATTCTGTTTTTCTGTGTCCCGTAAAATGTTTTCTTGTAACTTTAAGTTACAATGATACAATCTCCCTTCCGAACATCCTCGCAAAAAAAGTTCCATTTTCAAGGTGCTGTCTTCAACAGAGTTCTTGCTGGGTAAAAAACAAAAAGACTTAATTTTATAGTCTTCTGTCCTGGCTTAACCCAGAATTATTGCTGCGGAACATCGTGTTAGTTTTGTAGCATAGTTGGTTTGAAAATATTGCACCTGACAGTGCATTGCAGTTGATGTTATTAATGCCATCACCACCACCAGAATGAACTGTCTGTGAACATATTGTTTTTATGGTCCACTTCAATTATATTATGATAATAATTTAAATAATACAAGCTTGTGTATTAATCATATATCTATCATAACTATTCTTTGTTTTGTAGAAGTTGGCTCCAAAGTTTCATAATTTATCATATTGCTATTTTTGTCTGTAGTAAGTTCCTTTTCAAAATTGTACAGCTTTAACCCTTCCCTGTACAATTATATAAAAATATTTATAGCTGCCTGTAACCTGTCTCAATTTCAGAAATTCCAAATCGACATTGTAAGTCTATCCACCACTGAGATGGAATTTGATATGGTGGGTGTCGATGCTGCAATTGCAAATTCCATTCGAAGGATTTTGTTGGCCGAGGTGAGCTTATCTTATAATTTGTGTTTCATTTAAATTCTCTTCTTTTTGTCACCAGGGTATTTCTCTTATTCCAGTTCTTAAAAGGAGAAAAGTGATTTGTTTGTGTAATTGCAGATCTGTTGATGATTAAAGTCTACAGTTTACTTTTAGAAAATGTGCATGTTTTGTTCTAGCTTCTGCTATGTGTTTGTTTGGTTCCCCATTTTCAGACATTTTTCTTGGAAAGTGGTGTTACTTGTAATGTAACGTCATGTAGCATATTGTTAGTCTCAGCTTGCGTATACTTATGAATTTTTTACTGGTCAGCATCATCATGGTTAATGGGTGTTGTTAATGCATACTACTGTTCCTTGTCTCCACTTCTTGCTGTCTTTTTCTTTATGAATGACTTCATACTTCCTAATGACTTCATACTTATTTTATGAAAGTGAAAGGCTTTGTAGCTCTGCCTCTCTTTCTTGTTTCCTATTTTAATTAAAGCAGTAGTCTTCATGATTTGAGGCCAAAGATGTTTGTTATCAAGTCCAAAACAAGATTCCTTTTCCACATAAACTTTCTTCTCGTTTTTCTGCAAGTGCCAGATCTAAAACAGACAGGCAATCATGGTTCACCAATCATTTCTCTACTCGAATGCTTAAAAAACCACTATATATCATCCTGGTCTTGTCCCATCACATATCTGTTTAAGTTCTCTAATACAGTAGTACTTGCTCCAATGACCATATGTCCAGGACAATCTCCTGGACAAATGGCCATTTCCACTTTTCCCTGTTGTGTGTGGGTATTTTTTTGGGGGGGTGGTATGAGAACTGTCCAAAGAACTTTCTTTCTAAGATAACCACTTTACCCCTCGATGAGGGATGTTGATCTTACACATATTTAACGGTACATTACTTTGTGTCTACATTTTCTTCTTTTGACTTCTACTATTTTTCCATTGAGAGCAAATAAGTTTGTTTTGTTTTAGTTGGGTTTTTTTGGCAAGTTAATGTCTAAGTTTATCCCTTTGAGCCCTGACCTCCTCAGTCTACTGTGCCCCTCTACCTGAGCTCCTGAGCATTATTTTAGTATACTATTACTAACATTCATATGATCATCAGAATCATATTACATATTCCGCCCATGGTAGTCCTAGTCATTACAAGCGTCTAATTCAGAAAGATCTTCAAAATAATCAGTGACATCTTGTGTAGTAAACGCTGTTTTCCGTACGCATTTTATACCAGGTGTGCTAGGTTGGGAATGGGGTCTAGCTCAGCGCTCTACCAGTGGCTAAGTATACGGGGAGTTTGTGGCATCGGTGGCCTAGTGGTTAGGCTTTCGGACTCGCAACCGTAAGATTGTGGGTTCGAATCCCGCCAGGGGCCCGATGTTGTGTCCTTGGGAAAGGCACTTTACGCGAATTTTCCTCACTTCACCCAGGTGGGAATGGGTACCCGCCTATAGACAGCGAAAGATCTTGTCAGTTTGTTAGTGTTTTAGCGCTTATTCAGCTGCTTGCACTGTATGCTTCCCGGGAAGCTGAGAATGTTTCGGAGTGTTCTATGGTCTGCTGGGGTAATAATATAGTGTAAAGCGCATAGAGCTTGCTGCTGCTGAGTGGGGATGTGCGATATACAAAAGCTATTTATTATTATTATTATTATTATTACTGATGGCAAGGGCTCAAAGGGTTAAACTAATCAAAAGAATCAGGTATTGTAGAAACATTTTTCTTTTTTCGTTCTCAGGTACCTACAATGGCAATTGAGACGGCTGCCATTTGGAACAACACTTCCATCATCCAAGATGAAGTTTTAGCTCATCGCCTGGGACTCATACCAATCAAAGCTGACCCTCGCTTATTTGAGTACAAACCAAAAGGTTCATAGCGTTCTTTACCATTTTGATAGCTGGACCCTTAAGCAAGATGTGAAGAGAGTCCTTCAGTCTGGTTGTGTATTGCACATTTGTCTTTTGCTTTGGATGGGTCTAAATCATATTAAAACTAATTCTTCGCATGATTCTTCTCAGTCCTGCTCAAAGTAGAGTCACATCTTTTAAATATCATTGATGAGAGAAAAGTAGGTCTGCTTTTATTGCCTATTGACTCTTCTCAATCAAGTATAGTATTATTTTAAGAGATTGAAAATTTATGTTCGGTTCTCAGATGCTGCTCTACAATGGTTTGAGTTATGTTAAAGAAATTGTTAAAATAGAAAGTTACTTCTTACTCAAGTCTTCCTTTAAGATGAACAGTGTAGGCAGTACTCTTTTGATTACAGATTTACAGTGGTTTAAGATGAACTGCCCAGCTAGCATCTGCGTTTGTCGCGGCCGCGATTTTTGGCATTTTTGGGTTCGCGAATCACGGCCGTGATTTTTGGCATTTTTCCCAAAAAAAACCACACCGCCGGGGAATAAAAAATCGATAAAGCGGGGTATAAAAAACGGACCCCCCCCAAAAAAAAATAACCGAACCTCTTTACTTTTAGGAAAAAAAGTTAATTTTCACTTCTTCTTTCTTACTTGTTGACCCCACGTTTATTTGTTATTTTCATGTGAAAAAAAGTCTTGTACATTGCATACTATTTAATTTTGTATTGCTGCTTCTTCTCTTTGTTGTGTTTCAATATGCTTGTGTGTTATTTTCTTTTCTTGTTATTGTTCTGATGTGTTTTCTATATTTTTGTGTGTTTATCGTAATGTCGGTATCATTTAATTTGATGTTGTTCCTCCTACCTTTAAAAAAAAAAAATGCGTTTATGTGAGAGTGTGTCTCCACCAAAACCGAATACATGTACATGAAATGAACTGACACTGGCAGGCCCCTTGTGTGTGATTCCATAATTTACATGTAATATTCTGTACTTTTTCTTGAATAACACACGTTTAGGGTTAAAACGGCCACTATTCGAAAAGGTGGACACCCGCCTTTATTTGTTAATTTTTGTGGTTGTTTATGTTCTTTTCTAATTTTGATTTCATTCTGTTGTGAAACCTTTATTTTTCACATTTTTACACTCTGTGTGGCTACAAATGATCTTCTGGATGCTTAAAACAAAACACAAGAAATTTTGGTGCTTTAGATTAAGTTACCTCTATCAACATATTGCTATATTTGTCGTCACAGATAGTAGAAAGCTTGAAAATTATTGGCAACTTTTGCCATTCTTTTGGCAACTTTTGGACATTAAAATTGCAACAAGCGCAGATGCTAGGCTAAGGCAATCAAGAGACAGGGTCGGGAAAAAGTCGGGAATTTTGAGATGGGTCGGGAGGTCGGGAAAAAGTCGGGAATTTTGTGATGGGTCGGTAAGTCGGGAAAGGATAGGGCCTGTGTAATGTGCAGCTATCTAGACTGTATGGTTGATGAATCCTAAAGAGGACACGTAATTGAACCGCTGTAACGGAAGTGTATGTGTGACACCGAGGCTCGATCAGGAAGAATCAAGATCTGCTTTCGTTACCGCCCAGAAATGTTCCGGTAATAGTCTGATAGATAACGCAACATTTGTAACATGCAGGTTGTGCATTATGAATGCTGTGTCGCCTTGAAAATAAATCAATATTAAAAATTGCCCTCTGCTGTCGCTTGTGGAAAGAAAAAGAAAAAGAAGTTATACAAGCGTCTTGACAGGTTCGCCCTCGTGACCGGTCAATGAACCTGTGAGTACCGGCGGTCTGAGCGCTGTGAAGTATAGGACTCCTTTATAAGATACACTCGTGGAAGGGGATTGGGGGGAAGCTGAAGGCAACGCTAGAGGACAAAAACTGAACTTGGAAGCAAATTTTTAGCATTTTGATTACTACTTTAGAGCTCTCTGCAAAGCGCGCGTTGGTGCAGGCCTTGTGTGGAATCAGGATCCGTCATGCCTTGTTATTGAACTAAAGTGTTCGCGTTTCATTGGATGGGGTGATTGTAATTTATATCTATATTTTATTAGCTTTCTGTTCAAGATTGGCAGATTTTCAGTGTCACTGCATCTTGCCCCCCAGTTCTTACACCTCTCACACTGAATAGGTGTACTTGAGCCATTCTAGTTATTACTCTACTTTGAGTTGCAGCAATGGTTTTCGTCTTCACGTTTATTATATGAATCAGGACACCCAGACTGGTTATTGACAGTCGATTTTCTAGTTCTAGGTCTTTTTTCAGGCTCAAAACAGGATTCATTTTTTTATATAGGGCCTATAGTTTGTTATGTTGGCTAATATGATGATGGGAAAATATAAATAAGTAAGAACAGACTGAAATACCAAAGTCTCTCAAGATCCCAGTGCCACACTGACATGTTGTTAACTGGATATAATGTACCTACATGTGTGTGTGTGTATTCACAAACATATACATGTATTATATTAGATATAAATGGAGCACACGCTTTCATTGTTATATAACATGTTCCTGGAAAATGGATGAGGCCCCTCCCTTGGAAAATTGAGAAGCTGGTTTGGCAGTCACCCAGTATTATAGTCATCTATTGTTTGAATTTGAAGACTATACTACAAAATGTACGTTTGCATTCATTTGTAGACATTTTGACTTTTTATATTTGATAGATTGGCTTTTTTGGGGATCATTCTTGATGCGCAGCAGCCTGATTTCTCCCTCGAATTGGGGTCTTGAAAAAATTTTCCAGGATTTGGTGGGGACCCTGAAGAGAGGCAATCCTATAAGAAAACTTTCATATGTTGTTAAAAACATTATGTTTTATCAAGGCATGTTCATAATTCCATACAGCAATGTGTTCAAGTGCAAGAGGAAGAGAGAAAGAGAGAGCATGTTTATTCATTGATTTTTTGCTCTTGCAAGCGTATTTGTTTTTATGTAGTCTTTCTAGGGAAGAGCACTGAGCATTCACACTATTATTATTATCGTTCAACATGCCATCTCAGCTATGTTGAACATAGTATGAAAGAGTTATTATTGTTATTTACCTTGTAAATCTGTGTACTCTTTTGGGATAAGGAAGAAGGGGAGCCTCTGGATAGCTCATTCAGTTTCAGTTGTTTGATGGGTTTATTTTGAAGGTGTTATGATTTCTACTGAGCATGGAGTGATTATAGAGGTGGGTCCCCTCTGTTATACAAAGCTCTAGCAGGAAAAAAACAATGTTCAGGTTGTCAGTTTGGGATATTTTCTTAAACTTTTCATGACAGCAAGCACCATGATCAGCACTTCTAAATTGTGAGAGTAAAGGGTACATTTATTATTAATTTCTTTTATTTAATCTCAATTTTTTCTCAGTGGCTGTTCCATTGAAACTTTAAAGATTCAAAACGCCCTGAAAATTTGTGAGTAATATTTCCTGCACAGACTCAATGTCTATTCTCTGTTAGATTGAAATCCATTCTAAGGAAAAGAGAATGACACTCTGCTGCCCAGCCCCTAAATATGCTTTGTTACATCTTTGATCTGTTAAAGCTGCAAGAGGTCCAGTAATTTGAGAAAATCGCGAAAGAGTCCTAGAGAAGCCACCACACTAGAACATTTGTTCCTTGTTTTGGGGTGTTTGCTAGAAACATGAGGTATAATGTTCTGACATTCACGAGTCCCTTAACCCTTCCCATGGTCCTGGCGGCGCTGCATTGCTGAATGCTGCACCAGCTAATGTTTTGACGTTGAGGTATTTTCAAAACCTTTTTAGTGATTTTCATCCCATCATTGTATCTTACATCTATTTCATACTTTTTTTTTTCAGATGCAGAGGCAGGCTCCAGCGATGACACCCTACAGTTTTCTCTGAAGATTAGATGTTCTAGGAATAACGTAACCACAGATGCCACAGACCCAAGGGTTCTTTTTAAAAATCATAAAGGTGAAAAAATGCATCTTTGTATTTGTTATACTTTCATGTTGGGGTTATGAATGTACTTCTGTTATTGATTTTGTCACCCATTTTATTTCATTAAGTTTTTAACACATTTCACCCTGAGGGTCTGGACGGGAAGTCCATTGTTAGATCCTAAGCAAGGCGAAGGAACCCACCTCCCGTGAGTACAAGCCTTTAAAAAACACATTTAAAAAATACTAAACAAATTCCAAAAATCCTGAAAAAATAAAAATAAAAACGAAAAATGAATGTAGTTTCAGAAAAATATAACTTTATGTATGCACAAACTGTTAGAAATGTTCTAACTTTTGTTCGATCGGGGTGTCCGACCCGTCACTCTCACTCTCAGCCTTGCGGTCGGGCCCTAGATCTAAATTCTAGATTTTCTACATCTGATCAATCTGAATCACCCCAAACTTTTGCTACAACGTTTTCGTCAAAATCTGAGTCATCTGATTTGTCATATGCTTGTTTTTGCTCAAATCCATCGTTATTTCTTTTTTCGAACTCAGTTGTGTCGCTTTTCAACAAGTCGATACACCTTCGAAGTGTCGGTAATGCAATCACACTTCCATCGGGCTCTAATACTAAAACTACTGGCCCAAAAAATTTTGTTTCAGTATCAAACGAAAGGAGAAACTTTTTGCAATAACTATGCAAATCAAAATCTCGGCCCCAGAGTCTCGTCAAGGTGAGACTTCGTTTCTAAAGACGCTGGGTTGGCGTGGGCGGTTTCGGGCGAGTCAGGGTGGAGCACGTAAGGAAATTCCCGGGCGAGTTAGGTGTAATGTGTTAAAAGTCAAATTAAAATGTCATGCAAGAATTTAGAGCTTATCAAACATGCAAGTGGTTTTTTTCTTCCTCTTAGTGTTGCCATTTGTGTTGTTCTACATCTGCCCTCCCTTTCTGATATATATTACTTCAATTTTTTATATTTAAAAAAAAAATTTTTTGGTAAATTTTCTGACCAGTGTGAACTTGATACCTTTTTATTAAATTTCTCATGGGTATGAATTGTATATATGACACAGTGCTAATGTTTTACTTGCAGTGTACTCCAGAGATCTGGAATGGGTTCCTTTACCAGGCCAGGATCATTTGGTAAGTGACACTGTTGTTGTCTGAAACTTGAACTGATTTAACTCTTTGTCTCTGGCAAGCTGCTCCCAGCGTGGCTCACGGTCACAACTGCTGTGCCAGTGAGCCACTGGCAATGGCTTGAGCACATTCCTTTATACAAAGACTTTGCATACCTGCCGACCCTACAGAAAAAATCGGTAGATCACCGACTTTTTGATCAAACTACCGATCCACCGATTTTGAGAGATAAGTCACCGACTTCGTGATTCAGCAGGGTGACTGCCAGGCCCCGGGAATTACCCTGGAATTTTAGAAAGTTATCGAATATTTGAAAACCAAATCCGATAATGCCCTTAAGTTCATTTTTGCCGGTCGCGATTGTGATATTCATTCGAGTCCCCCCGAGAGTACGTTTGTTCACACAGACAGGCGGCTATGGTGGCAAGTGGAAGTGTATGTGTGATACCGAAGTTTGATCGGGATAATCAAGATATAATACTTTCACTTTCGTTACTACCCAGGAATTTGCTGGTGGTAGTTTGATAACGCAACATTAATTTAACAACGTGCAGGCTGTGCATGGCAAACACTTTGTCGCCTTGAAAATAAATCAATATTTGTCCTGTGCTGTTACTTGTGAAAGAAAAAGAAAAAAAAGTTATAGTTATACAAGCGTCTTGTCGGGCTCACCATTGTGACCGGTCAATGAACCTGCACGTTCCATCACATTGTGAGCACCGGCAATTGTAGGGGTCACCAAAGTTCATTCAAAGTCTGAGGGCTACGAAGTATAGGACTCCGGAATGGGGGGGGGGGGGGGATTATTTATTTTTTTAAAGATACACGCGGGGGAGGGGGGGGGGGGGTTGAAGGCAACACCAGGGGACAAAAACTGAACTTGGAAGCAAAATTTAGTATTCTAAATTTTGATGACTACTAGATCTAGATCTCTCTGCAAAACGCGTGTAGGTGGAGGCCTTGTGTGGACTCGGGATCCGTCGTACTCTTTCCTTGTAAACTCTGCAAAGGCTAAGGGCCAAGGTATAAAGGCTTAAGTCATCCAAGGTCATATTTTTTTGTTCTTTGTCATTTTATACTAAATTCTACATTTGTTTTAAGTCGCAAACACATTCATACATATGTGATGTGGGTCAAAATATTGATACGGGTCCCAAATTAAATATGCGACAAGTGGTAATATAGCCTACTACAGATTTTTTAGGTCAACTACAGATTTCGGCCCAGGCAATGTTGGCAGGTATGACTTTGACATCAAATTACTTTTTGCAATTGACGAAAACAGGTCTCTTTTACCAGGGGTTCACTCATAAGAGGAAAAACTATCAAAATAGGTGTATTTGTTTTTGATTTAATGACCCATTTAGTGACGTTTTTGTCATTTTTAGATTTAGTACCAGACAAGGGCCCCGGCGTAGTGGGTTTACCCCTCTCAGAAATAAAGAGTTAAGAAGATTTTGTTTTGTGGTTGTAATTCCTTTGGCATTTTCTTTTGTCCTCTGTTACAAAAGGACTACTGATGTCTGTAATGTAATGGTTAGGCTCTTTCTCGTTGCTTACAGAAGACATGAGTTCTCTTTCTGTGTAGGGAAGTTTTTCTCTTTGAGTGTCTCCATTTGGCTGCTGGGATGTCATATCCCGCTCAGCCTAGGTTGGTCCTGACTGGCAAGTTCGAATCTGCCCACCTCTTTCATTTTTTAAAGAATTGTGTTGATGTGGGTGTTATATATTTACGACTATATAATAGGGCCACACGAAAACTGTTCCTTTTCTAAATAGCAGGTCTGAAATGTGATGGGTATGTTTTTAAGGGGATGATCTGCAACTTTGACCATTACTGACATCTCAGTGACTCCAAACTCCATTGTAAAAAGGTTACCTATCTCAAAAGTTTGTGTTCTTGGGCAAGGGGGTGTAGGAGAAGAAAGAAAAAAAATGTGTTTGATGGACTGACATGCAAAGCTGAAGAATTTATTCATCGATACCTGATTTGCAGCAGAAAAACACAAAGGAGAAGGTTAGAACCTTTCCTTATTAACTGCAGAGGCACAACTTTAAATTTAAGTTGGATTTTTCAAAAAATCATTTTTTTCAGACTCAGATGAAGACTCCCGTTTTATGTTGATACTTTCTATTGTTTTTAGTTTTTTTTTGTTTCTTTTTTGTTTCTTAGATATATCTTTACCCCACCTCACTGCTTCTTAAGTGGAATCTTCTTCTTTTTGTGTGGACTAATATTGAAGAACTTTATCAATGTACTTATATATGAATGTCATGTGTATTTCAGAAGAACAAAGGCATTGGTCCAGTGGACAAGGACATCCTGATTGCTACAATGAGACCAGGCCATGTGAGTGGCATGTTTCTGAACAAAATAATAATTTTTAAAAAAATCAAATGACGTAGTGTTGAAAGAAGCCAGTGTGGGGCAGTCACTAATAAAAACAATTAGGATAAAACAAATGCAGTTCCAAGGACACTTGATTCAACATAGAGGAGGCCTTGAACATCTTGCTCTTGGAAAACAGAAGGCAAAATAAGCAGAGATGGATGAAGAACAACTATTAATAAAATTTGGACAAATGGGTGGCAGGAAAAGACGAGAGTAATATAGACCTGCATGTTTGCCGACAATCGTCTGAAATCCAACAGTCGCGACCCGGCCGATGCTATCGCAGGGTCCACCTGTATTAGTCAATGTGCAAGGTCTTCTGGGATGATATGTCTTTCTTGGCTCAGGTTGAACCTGACAGGCATAGTCGAAGTAGCCTAACTGTAAATTATGTCTTTAAAGGTGTAAAACACTTACGATTAGAATAAAATAAAAGCCAATGGTCTACCAGTGTGGGCCTCTTGAGCTAATACAGGATCAAGTTTTTTGTGCCAAATGTTATACTGGAAAATGTTTGAAGTCTGTGGCTAGATGAAAAGGTAGAGTTCCCTGTGTTGTGTGTTTTCTGAAGTGATGATGCACACAAAGGCTACTCTCAAGAGCAATGTTTGGATCAATATATACTGATACATTATAGTAGCATCTGCGTTTGTGCGCGCTGTGATTCTTGCACTAAAAAAAAACAGCCACCGCCGCCGGGGAATTTAAAAAAAGGGGGGGGGGGATAAACATCGAAAAACAACAAAAAAGGGAAACCGAACCTCTTTACTTTTAGAAAGAAAGTTTATTTTCACTTCTGCTTCACTTCGTCTCTTTCTCACCACGTGGATTTGTTATTTTCATGTGAAGAATGCAAGTGCATTAGGCCTACATACTATTTACTACTACCCTCAGCCCTCTCTCGCTTCACCCGCTGTGTGTACTTGCAGTGACTTGGCTTGCCTGGGCTTGCTCCAACACTGCGTGCGCGCTCTCTCTCTCTCTCTCTCTCCCTCCCTCTCTCTCCCTCCTTCCCTCCCTCTCTCTCTCTCTCTCTCTCTCTCTCTCTCTCTCTCTCTCTCTCTCTCTCTCTCTCTCTCTTACACCTTGTTAACGAGCCTTTGTCCCTGGTATAACCGATTGAGCTCCAACGAGGCCCTGTTATTGGCGATAACTTTTAATAGAGACAAAGAGTAGGAAGAAACGGGGATTTAAAAAATCCCTGTTATTACCGGGCCTGTTATATATGGTTTCCACTGTACATGTAATATCCAGTACTTTTACTTGAATTACACTCATCTAGGGTTAGAACTGCCATTCTTCGGATAGGTCGACACTCATCCTGATTTGTTAATTTTTGTGGTTGTCTATATATTGTTCTAATTGTGATTTCATTTTGTTGTGAAACCTTTATTTTTCACGTTTTTACACTCTGTGTGGCTACAAATGATATTCTGGTTGCTTAACTCTTTGAACCCCGCGTCCGGTGGTAATGACCCTGTTCCCCATCGGATGCTGGGAGCGTCCAATACGAGTTACAACTGTTTCGTCTTATTTAGTGCTAGTTTTTGCTGGTTTTTGGAACTATTCGTGAACCACGTTTTTAGAAATGACTAAGCCTTTGTTTCCTCTATTTAGAAGTTGGAGGCAAGCTTTTTTGGGGTTATAATGAGACATACTGCACTAGGTTTAGGTGACTGTAGAAAAAACTCCGGGAAACGGTGGAAAAAACTCAGGTCTTAAAAGAGTTAAAACAGAGCACAAGAAATTCTGATGCTTTAGATTTGGTACCTCTATCAGCATATTGCTATATATACTTCGTCACAGAGAGTTGAAAGTCGAAGCAGACTTTGTTCTGTTGAGGCTAGAGAGGTGAGCAGAGTAAGCCTGATTCCCCATTTGGACTTCTCTGTTGACATCCACCCCTCGGCGCTCATATGACCTTATGCAGTTGCGAGCGCCGTAAAACCTTACTAAAACACGAGAGTTGAAAGCGTGAAAATTAATAGCAACTTTTGCCATTTTTTTTTGGGTGGCAACTTTTGGACAAAAAGATGGCAACAAATGCAGATGGTAGATTATATTGACCTTGACAGAGTGTCTCTTTTTTGTGTTTTGTTCTTTTCCATCGATTTTTCTCTTTCACCTCTCATTCTATGAATTGTGAGAAAAAAGCTGATCTTCTCTATATTTCTCCTTCATCTTTTAAAAAAAAAGATAGAATACCATCAGAAGCAGCTTATGGCAACATTAGTTTATTTGCTGAAAATACATAATGTTTGAATTTTAAAGAAAGTGAAATTAAATGCGCTGCTACTCTCAATACATAATGTAATCAAGTAAGACTTTCTCTAGTTACTTTTAATGTTCTCATATTTTTAGATAAATTTTCTTTTTACAGTTAGGCATTTAGGAATTATTGATATTTCTAGTTTAATAGAACTTCCACGATCCCTTTGAATTGTAAGTGGGTGATGGAAGTGCAGATTGATTAAATTTGAGAACTTCAATCATTATTTTTAGTTTTATTCTTTTGGTGTTGACAAGTTCAGTACACTTTAGTTTTTGACGATGTTGTGAAGATGTGTTCTCTTTGTGCTCATATTTTACAGGAGCTTGACGTGGATTTGTACTGTGTGAAAGGAATTGGCAAAGATCATGCAAAGTTTTCTCCTGTTGGTAAGGTCTTAACTGAAGACATAATACATCCTGCTCTACTTAAGCACTAAAACAGATTCTGACTCTTGGTACTCATTCCCTGATTATTGACTTTTGTGTTGCATTGCCTGTCAAATTGAGGCTTTAGGTCGTTGAAATGAATAATAAATAAATAATAATAATAATGGCAGGAATGGAACTTGTGTGTATATTTATTTAAAAACAGGAATAGCTTGCTGAAGTCCAGTCTTTTGGGCTTTATTCTTTTAAATTCATGTAATAGTACATTCTGAGTAACAACAAATCTGTACTGAATATTGATTTTAAAAATTGCATCGATGTATCAATTAATTTAGGGATCCAGTTGGTTGAACCTCTATTTCTTCTCAGTGTTGTTTTCTTTCCGATTATAGGGGGTGCCCGCATACGTGGTCGGGTCAGGTCGGGCCCATTGGGTAGTCAGGGCTAGCCAAATTGAGGGCGCCATCGTGGCACAAACTGATCGACACGATCAGTGACCTACAAAAACAAACGCGTTTGTTTTCTGGCCTGCGAATCGCGCGATCGGGTGGTTTGCTGCCAATCACAACAAGGCTGAGTCACGTGTCCATTTTGACCCATGAATATATTAAGTAGGTACTCTGGGAATTCCCGGTTTCGGTCTCACGCCTTTGACCGTCTTCTCACTTCTCACAGCGGATTTGGAGCGCTCATAGGCCGAGAGGAAGAAGGAGACGAAGAAGAAGAAGGAGAATGAGCACTACAGAGGGAGGGTGGTGAAAGTGACAGGGAGGGAGAGAGAGAGATAAGTTGAGAGATATATGCTGAGACCTAGATATTACATTGCTAGATCTAGATCTAGGTCTCTGATATGGGAAGTGAGAAATAGAAAAGAAAGGAGAGAGATATATTAAAGCAAGTTAGCAAGCAAGCAAGGAAATACTCACCCGCATGGGCGCACACGCACACTCACAAACACACACACAGACAGACAGACAGAGAGAGGGATTGCGGGAAGTCCAAGAGTACGATAGGCATATTTTATGTATCATGGGTCAAAGGTTCAGCCAATCATAGCCCGGTTTACGCCCTCTGTGTAGTCGCATGTAGGTTAACGGTTTCTCAACTTTAACTTCCAGGTCGTCGGGTACAATCGCAGCAGGGCTGTAGTGTGCACTGAAACCCCGACCCGATCGAGTATGTGGGCACCCCCTATTAGCTCCAGATAAAATGCAACCCCTGCTGTTATGATTCCGTGTAAACATTTATTTATTGAAGAAGATGTAAGAAACAGAAGCCTGGCTTGTCAATATTTTCTTTCTTGTTCTAATGCATCAAGGAATTGAAATGCACTATCACTAGTGATTACTGGGGGAGGAGATCAGTAGAAGTGCATTACTACTTATAATTTTCTGTATTCACAGCTACCGCTTCCTACCGTCTCCTGCCAGAGATTAGACTGCTGCGGGAATTCCATGGGGAGGAATGTGAAAGGTTGCAAAAATGCTTTTCTCCTGGCGTTATAGAAGTGAGGGAGACCCCTGAAGGTGGGTGTCTGTATCCGTAAATTTGTTATCAAGACTTAATTTTCTTTCCTGTGTTTTGAATTCTTCAGGGTTGTTTTAAGTGTGGAAGCTTTCTTCCTTCCACGGTGTAGTACGGTACGCGTGTCTAACCTGAGGAAAATATCATTGGTTCTCACCCCTCTGTGGGATCTGGATGAATGTTATATTTTCTAGTGATCTTTGTTCTGTATTCATTAGTGGCACGTCTGTTGTTGGTTGCAGACAGAAAGGTTGAAGGTAGGTGGTTGTAGGGTGCCTCTTGCAAGTCAAGCTTCCATAAATTCTATCCCTGTTGTTTCTGTCTGTCTGTCATAATTTTCCCCCGCACAAAATGGCCGTTATTGTGTTGATGTGCACCTCTTCACTCAGAACAAACAAAAAATGAAATGATGGAGGACGTATTAGCTTCAGACGTTTTTTTTGTTTTTTTTTGGGGGGGGGGGTCTGTTGAATAATGTGCACAGATCCAGGGTAGCAGCTGGTGGAGGGATTGCAGCTGTGCCGTACAGGAACAAAAAATGACAGGCTGTGATTGTTGTGTTGCATGGAGACATGGGGGGTGTTTCTACTTTACGTTTACCAGAATCTTGTGTTCTTTTCAGGCAGGGTGGTTGGTTGATGGGTGCTCTGGTGTGGTTTGCTCCTTCTTTCCTGTCAAACATCTATCGTCCTTACCTCCTTTTTTGGGGGGGATCTTAGTTACTCACTTGTAACAGCTCTAATCTATGCCGTTTATATGACCTAATTCAGTTCTATACTGAGGTATAGTGAGTACTGTAAAACACTTTCTAAAACACACAAAAAACCCTTACTAAAAAACCTCTTGTTTACGGGAATCTGTGTTCCTTTTCAGGCAAGAAAATGGCACGTGTGGTCAATGCTCGGATGGACACCTGCAGCCGCAACGTCTTCCGCCATGATGACCTCAAGGATGGCGTTGTTCTACAGAGAGTCAGGGACCACTTTATCTGTAAGTGACCACACCACATTTACTTGTTTTCTATTTTGTTTCCATTAGTGACAACACCACATTTACTTGTTTCCTTTTTTGTTTTTGTCGGTGACAGCACTGTGTCTTCTTGTTTTTTTAATTTTTGTTTGTGTTATTGCTTACGTCATTTTTTTTTTTTTTTTGAGAAAACTTGTTTTTATAAAGGCAATTCCAAAAACAAGGCTTAAGTTAAAGTGAATGGTATGACTTTAAAAAAGGTAAAAATGTAGTAGGCCAATTGGATGTTTAGCACACTAAATGAAAACCAGCTATACTGAAGTTACAGAGAAAATAAAAGGCATTTTTACTGTACCAAAAGCTAGAGGCATGAAAAAAAACCTCAGACAATTACAGTCGAACCTGCCTTAATGAAATCTCCCTGCTCCCCCCTTGATATATTCCTCTTTAATTACCTGTATAAAACGGAAACCTGTCCAACGCGGAAACGGAAAGACAAATCCGCTCCCTTCTGAGGGTTTCACCTGTCAAAGACGGAAAATGCTTTGCTCGCTCAGCCCTGATTTGGAACAAAACTCGCAAGTTTGGTTCCGCTGGCTCTTACTCTAGACTTAATGCCATGGCCATGCCGCCAGGCGAGGATGGGGAGTTGGAGTGCAATTTGGGGTTAGATGTTACCCATCTCCTTGACGTTACCCCATCATGTGAGCCCTGAGCGATGCAGATGGTCAGGGTAGTGTGGGTGTGAATCTCACGACTGCCCGTGAGAGGGCTCGAGTAGCGAGCCACTACACAAACTGTCCTGGGGTAGCCTGAAGCCAGAGGTGTGAAATTACTTTGACCAATGCCTGCCGCCCTGATCGTACGCCAGCCGAGAAAAGAGTTCCTCCAATCATTGTTACATGATGGCAGTGAGGGGTGGCATTGGTTGACTGTACTTGTTACACCGATGGGTGGGGGGGCTAAGGGTGGAAGCAAAGGAAGATTTTCAAACGTTTCTGTTTTTAATAGGTCAAGCAGTGGTGGCAATTGGACAAGTAAGAATGACGCATGTCATTATCTGACAGGATAGCAGTTGAGAGGTGTGAAGTTTTGACCACTGATTGCCGATTGGACAAGCGATCCTTGATCCCACCGGCTGGGCCTTTGACCCCCCCCCTTCCATCTCCTCCTAAATTCGTCTAAGACGAAATTTTTTCTGGCTCTGTTGCGATTCCGTCTAACACAGGTTTTTTTTGTTGCTGGCAGTCTTTGTTCTTTGTTATTGATCATGCAGGTGTTGGAAGTTCCCTGTTGGCTCTGGTGTTAAATGATAATAATGACCATTCATTATGAGAATCGGCTTGTTCTGTTTGCAATGATTTTGGAGTCTGGCTGCTAGGGAAGCAGCTGATCTTGTAGGTACCTGTGGGTAGAAAAGCATTTGTTTTATAAGAAGTTTGTCACCTTTAAATACATGTACTACTCTCCACGGTGATCAACAAAGCAGAATTTTATTAATCTATTTTAACTATTTATTATTTTTACTTTTCACTTCCCTCTTCCACAATCTGTACACTCGTAACCCTTAATGCCTTTTCTGTAATGTGTATGTTTGCAGTTTCTGTGGAGTCCACTGGAATCCTCCCTCCTGACACCCTGGTCTCTGAGGCGATGAAAATCCTCATGGGGAAATGTCAGAAGTTCTTACAAGAACTGGATGACAAGGCAAACAGCTTCACTTCCAGCAAAGACAAACACAGAAAGGGCAAAAAGTCGTAGCCAGAGGACTTGGTGCGAGTGCAGAATAACAGATGACTGAAGGATTCCTGCTTGCTGGGGAGGTTTTTTTATTTCTATGATGTGAATGTCAGCAATTTGCAGCTTATGGATCTTGTCAATAAATATGGCAACCCTTTATTCAATTCCAGCTGTATTGGACTTGTATTTTTGGTGAGGGCGACAGGTATTCTACTTGATGTTTCAGATTGTTATTTTTTCAGCATAGCTATATATATATTTGTGTCTGTCCAAAGGTCCTGTGGAACCGAGTTTTAACTTAACTTGTTGAGGTCTTTAAAATCACATCATGAAAAAGCGTGTTGATCTAGGTTAACTCACTTGCGACTGGGCCCTTTCACCAGTCACAAGCGTTGAAGACTGGCGTTTTTGGGGGTATTTCAATAAATCACCACAACTCTCAGAATTACCCTATTGTAATCATTTTTTGACACAGTAAAGTAACATTCAAGCTTAATCTAATACAAAAAACTAAAGTTGTCTAAGTCTAATACTTTAATTTGTATGATTTTTTAAAAATTGGCATGAATTTGATTTTCCGAAAAATTTCCAGAGACGTGACAAGTAGAATGAAATTCACTGCATCAACAAAAATAAAAGTTCAAAGTGTTCTGGTTTGATTTGTATACATGTGCGAGTGTTTGGTGAAAATATAAAAGCTGGTCTGTGCGTTGATTCAGACCCATACACTGAATTACATGAGACAGATGTACGACACGACGTTGTGATTTCGTTGCGCGAAAAACAACACCGGTACTAGTGCTAGATCTAGCCCTAGAACTACGACTCGGGCCGTGTTCGGGTACATATCCAGGATCTTAACTATTAGACACATCATATTCTGAGACACTAGAACCAGTAAAATGCACAGAAGTATAGAAAACGGCGAAATTATGTGATTCTTGTTCATGCGACTTCTTCGACCGTTACTACGACGCGACTGTCGGATTACTATGAGCTGTATAGAAAAAAACAAAGCGCGAGTTCCGGTCTGTTCAACCCCAGTTGGGGTCACTGTCCTTCACCTTCAATAACTTAAAAACTACCGGCCCCAGAGATACGAAACGAAGTCTAAGTAGCTCAGGCTTGGCCAAACAAGGGTACGAGGCGGGTCTCGCGATCCGTGCGTGATTTGTAGAGCGAAAAAAAAATTCCAAAGTTGGTCACGCAGGGCTTGTGAGACCCGTCGCGAGCGTCGCGGCAGGGGTCACGCAACTGTTGTGTGACCCGTCTGAAGTGAGTTAAAGTAAACCTATATTTTTGTGGACAAAAAATGCTGGCCTATTGTTGAACACCTATTTAACCCTTAAAACCCCATACGGCTGGTAACCGCTGACGCCGTATATTCCTATACCGCTGGTCAACTTTATCGTTTAATTCCCGGTGCTAGAAACAGGGGATGTAACTCCAGATGACTCTGTCGCATGCAGAAAGTACCAATAATGTCATGAGAGCAGTTTTACACCGAAAGTTAGGAAATTTTGCGAGTTTATACGAAAAATTAGTGACTTTTCGCTGCCAGGCCCTTCAGGCTGCAACATTTCTGACGTTTTTGATCCTGAACCAGACCCCAATGGTGATCTCCCAGTTGGATATATCGATAAATATGACCGCGCCGCTGAAGACAGTTGCAATGTTTCGCATAACATCAATGATGATTTTGACGATAGTGGAAGTGGCAGGGGATCCCCACTAGAGCTACCAAAGGCTAGATCTATGCTGGGTCTAATGATGCTTTGACTGAAGTGGTGTTAGGGATCACACACTAGACTTTACTCATAGAGTTGGTCCTAAAAACCAGTGTTTCAGCCTTTTCCCCTTTTGTTCAGACTGTGCATTCATATATATAAAATAACGTTTTCAAACTTCAGTAAAATCTATTAACAATTAAAGACACAGTAAGTAAAACAATGAACCAACCTAATTTTTTCTAGCATCTCAATTTTAATTCAGGATTCTAGATCTAGGGAGGTACTGGTATGAAAAAAAATTCAGGATTTTAAGGTTATCCTTTTTAATCTGCTATGTAATTTCTCTTAGGATTTTAAAATTTCTTGAGTAAGTTGTTGTTACAGTGGAAATTAAGTCGCAAAGGAGAAGTGTTTTTCTTGAAGTTTACATTTCCAGGAAGGTGACTTCAGACCAATCTGTCACAATTCATGTATCTCTTCGTGTTACACATCATACGTGGGAACATGTTTTCATAAATTGCCACTTTTCTGCCAAGATAATGGTCGTTACTTGCCTAGGTTTAGCTCTGATTGGAAACCAAGACTGGCATTAAGGAAAAGGCTGGACAGGTACCGGTACTCAGTGGTGTTAGTACCGGCACCAGGCCTCCAGTACTAGTACTGGGAAGTTTCTGGCATCAAGTGGTATCAGCTTTGGTAAGATGTAAGGTGCCGACACCAGGTGATAAGCACAGCGAGTGATGTGCCCTTGGAACTAAAGCCCTAGTTACTGTGCAGTGTGGAGAAGCTGTGACGTCAGATGCACAGAACAAAACACTAGGTGATCATGATACAGGACATCAAGTTCAAAACTGACAGTCATTTAACTCACTGGAGACGTTTCACGCAGCATTTGCGAGCACCAATATGTTCCCGAGAGGCTGTTCACACACCCTCAGCGAGCACAAGTTTCATTGGGTTTTTTTCTCGGTAAAGTATGCCTGCAAACGTTGCATTAACCGTCTCTTACCGTGCAGCCGACCTTTGTTTCGTTTCACGTGAAGTTTCACCGGAATTGGCTGGAAACTTTTTGAGCTATCGAACCGGAAGGAAATTTAGTCACACTGAGTTGAGGCACTACTTTCGTTTCTCTGATTGGAGTCTGTTCTCGCAATACTTTGTTAGTACAATGGCCGCACTTTTAGTTTTTTTAGTAAGAGTTTTACGGCACTTGCAACACAATAAGGTCATATAAGTGCCAAAGATTAGATCAAGAGAGTAATAAACACAAAGAAGGAGGAGGAGAGATCGGGCCAAGAAATGTTTGATAGAGGAAAGGAGGAGCAAACCACACCAGAGCACCCACCAATCACCCACTTGGCAGCACAAAAAGCAAATACAATGTATTTTCAAGTGTTTGACGACTTTGACAGTTGAGAAAATTCTGATTACATGTATAATATTTTTGACCATGGGGATCCTGATTTCAATACAAATGATCATCTAAGCACTAATTCTGATAGAGAATATTCTAGATCTAGACTAGATTTTCAAATGCAAAATTCCCCTTTGTCTGGAGCCTTGGGGGGTTTTTTCACACTAAAGCGGATTACACAGCTAAATACATAGAAGGATTACCATATCGATTACCGCCTAGCCTATTCATGAGTTTTATTCATTTTGAAACGCAATACATAACAAAAGACACACTCAATGTTGATTTTTCCGGTGTTTTGTTGGGATTTTTTACACAAGACATGTCAAAAAAATTTGGCGAGCAGCAAATTTTAGCACATTTTCAAAATATAATTTCTAAAATACTATAAAAGGTATTGCCTTTCTGTTTGTTTGTGCCCTATTGAGCCTGTCTAGATCTGTTATGTGTGTAAAAATTGTGGTTGTATGTCTTTGGGAAGGGTGTTGTTTGAAACATTGAAATACCCCCTAAAATGCCAGTCTCCAGTGAATGTAGACCCGAAAAAGACCCAGTCTCCAGTGAGTTAAAAAGTAGAATTATACGCATCAAAGTTTAGATATCCAGGGACGGACGAAAAAGACATGCAGCAGGCAGATGAGACGCAAGATGCACAGAGCCTTTGATGTCATCTATTCCCTGTACCAGTGCAGCATCGGCGGAACTCAACGCCCAGTGCTGGTGCAGTACAGGAACTCGGATTTCTCAGAAACCGCCCAGCACTAAATCTAAATCATGCGCAAAAGGTTGTTAGATTAGATATCTATAGAAAGTGACTTTTTTGTGCAAGAAAGAGACATGATACACAGGGAAGCCGACAACCCTCTATATTATCTAATAGAAACGTCCTTTTGTTTTTATTATTTTTATTTTAAAGAAATATTTTTAACTTTCAAGACCAGTTTTTTTGCAATACATAATATGTACATGTAATACTGAGAACGAAACCCGTGAGTCAATCGGAGTTATGAAGTTGGTAGCCTACGTGTACTTAGAAAATAAATGTCTCTATCAAACTTTTCTCACATTTTTGCTGCTGGTCTGCAGGTTTATTGTTTTAGTGTATGTGTACGTGTAGTGTGTAGTCGCAAAAGGCAAGACATTCCTAACGAGGGGCCAATGAGCATGTTGGTTACTGTGTCTGTGCGGAAAGTAGGCCTATGTCATGGCTCCATTGTCAGGGCTTGCAGAGCATGAGCCTCCTCGACTATGTACAGTACATGTACTATGTAGTTTTTACAAGTGCTTTTTAAAATCTTTGGCTTTTTTTACAAGAAGAATTTCATAAAAGGAAAAGACTGTGGGAACGGGCTCGACTTTTGCTGGGCACTATAGAATAGACATTTGATTGGCTGTTATAGCTTGTTCAGTTTCTTCTGTCCGTGAAATATGACAAGATAAAAACAAAACGCTCTGTTTAATCTTTTCGGGTCAGTGCAAGCGAGTCTAAAAACTAAATGGCCAACACAATCTTGAAGCCCTTATGATTTTTATGAAGGTCACGGCAAACTAAGGTAAGGGTGGTTTTTTTAATGGGGTTTTACAGCACACACCTTAAACATACAATTGTTTACCTCTTCTATTCGTGAACACCACACTTTGAAGCACACCTACTATGAAACGTATACTATACATGTACATGTACCCTACATCAACACCCCACTTTGAAGCACACCTACTATGAAACGTATACTATACATGTACATGTACCCTACATCAACACCACACTTTGAAGCACACCTACTATGAAACGTATACTTTACATGTACATGTACCCTACAACAACACCACGCCACAAACCTTCGGGAAAAAAGGCGAGCTGGGGCAAACGAAATAAGAGAGTATCTGAGCTAAACTGACAAAAACCTCGGTGCATTGACAAAACTTTAAATCAGCGGCTAACGAGTTGAGGATAGAAGATAAAGTGAAAAAGTATAATCGCTCTGTCGAGTCCAGTGTGAGTGACTCTTGTTGGTTGAGGCA